CTTTTACTTTTTCTCATGTCTCCAACTGTACGGTCAGCATTGCATGCATAAAGTCATGTAGGTACATTTCTCAAATTCCATTTTAAAATCACTTTGATGCCTTAATTAAAAGAAAAAAACTTACTAGAGTCTACCTCCAGTTATTCTCCTGTACCTCCTATTTAGGATAATCTATTGAGGTTCCATCAAGTATCTCCTCATGGTATTGCATGCTAAGAAAATTCTCCTTTGCTTTTCCTACCATCTGGAACAGCTTTTTCTACATCATCCATTGTGTCACTTCAAATCTTAGGGGACTATGTCTTAAAATTGTTTTCTGTCCTTTAATCTTTGTAATTATATGATTTGAAGCAACACAGTGTTTGGGTATACTGTTTATGTGAAAGAGAGAATGAAAACCATCATATGAAACATTTCATGAAGATTTGAAATTCTTGCGGAAAATAAAATCTATGAAAAAAGATCAAAAGCATTGGGATTATTGATCCTGGAGAAACTAAAAAGTGAATTAATAAAACATCTTTAAATATATGAGGGGTTATGTGAAAGTAGTTGTTAAGTTGATATTTTCCATTGAATAGGTAGTGTTAGATGGTAGAAACAGCACAGGATCTGGAATCAGGAAGATGTGTTCAACCCCTTCCTCAGATCCTTACTAGCAAAAAGACTTTGGGAAAGTCATAACCTTTCTCAGACTCAGTTTTCTCATCTGTCAAATGGGGATAACCTTATCTCTAGCACTTGTATCCCAGAGTTATTGTGTGCCAAAAATGAAATCGTATATTTAAACTGTTTTGAAACCTTAGAAGCACTACATAAAATGTCAGTTACTATTAGTGAGAATAGAACAGGAGGAAATGAGTTTGAACTTTAATGTGAGGATGATTAGTTACACATAAAAATTTCTCACATAGTGAATATTATTAAAGGATGGAATGGTTTATTGAAGGTGGCACACACCTTCCTTGAAATTCATTAAAAAATGGGGTATTTCTCGGTGATCTAGCTAGCTTGACTTTGGGTGTAATCTTTTTGAGGAAATAAAACAATGAACTAGATGGATCTCGTGGCTTCTTCTATATCGAGAGATTGGGGTCAGTGAAGAGATATGGGAGTTTTGAACATTTAATTTGTTGAACAGGACCTTGTCAGAAAGTTTAACCATCTCTAGGGACAATGCTGTTATCCTACACTTCTGGCTCTATACTTTTATTTCAAAAGTCAAAACAGAATTTTGAAACTCCTGATTCCTCCAAATTACAATACTTTTAAAAGTTTATGGCTTGTATTTGTTTAAAAAAATCCTAAAATAATCCCATTTGCCAAAGTATCCAAGTAGGCCAGAAGCCAAATCTCACAAAATACAATTCTAGCAAATTTGTAATAAAATTAAGAATTTAAGTCTTTCAGAGCCTATCATCATAATAACACCTCCAATAGTGAGTTATATGTAAAATTTTAAATTCCAATAAGATAGTTTATTAGGTAAGGCTTTAAGTTTTCTTATACAGAACATGTCAATAAGAAGGATAGCTTTTGCTAGTTGTTGTATTATGTAACTTTACTCAGTGGATTTCCACTTTTGTTTTAAAAGCCTTATAAAAGAGACATATATGTTCAACAACTTATTTTAATTTTGATTAGTTTGAAGGAAAAAATAGTAACCTCCTTAAACTAGCACAAATAAGCTAAAATCTTTTTTAGTCATAATTTGATTTTTATCCTTAAAACCTTTTGGCAAAAGAAACAGCTGAGAAAGTAATAGTTAAGTCTTCATGATAGGGGAATGAATAGAGTTGTGCTTTAGGATAAGCTATCTCCTCAAATTAAACATATCATCAAGTGGAAAAGAAGAGTATATTTGTAGTATGTGCATAATTTGTAATACTTTAAAAACAGAAATGAATCTTGTATTTAAGGTCAACATTCAGAAATAAGTTTTGTATTCTGAAGACATTCAAAAGAAGTTAATGAATTATTTTCATTACTATAGGAACTGGTAAAATTCTAATGTCCGATTCCAAGCAGAAATAATTTCACATCTTTTTTGTTATAAAAAATGTAATTTTAAACCTAGAAACTAAGCTATCTTAGAATAATTTTAAAATAACTTTTCCAACACAACTGGATCTTAATGTATTTTGCATTGCTTTACCACATGGTTTAGCAAACATTTTAATAACAGAATATAAAATGTCTTGAAATAGGTATTTTCAAAAAAATGAATGACAAAAATTGTGTCAAGGTTATTTAGAAGGCAATCAAAACAACAGAAAATTCTAAAGGTTAATTTTCCTAAAATGGTCTTAGAATACAAGTATCAGAACACTTTAAAAAAAGCTACTGCAGCTCCTAAATGGAAAGACATACCTGAAATTTCTAGAGTATCTTCCTAAATTTACATACCACCAAGAAGATACATATGGAAAACTTTAATCTCTGTGTTTTTATATTTGCTTTCACCATTTCTTTTCTATTCTCTTGTGGAATCAAATATCAATAAGCATCAGACTAACGCAAAACAAGTAATAAAAAATGAAAACCCAAAACAATCTATAATTACAACGAAGCATTTATTTGAAAGAAATTGGTACTACATCAATTGTTAAGATTATTCTAAGTATATACTTCCTAAAAATAAGAGAATAAAATATATGGCAGTTAATCACAGAAGTAGCAAAATGGCAATAAAGCACACAAAATGTCCATCTTTTCAAGCTTAAACATCCCTTCTAGAACCAGGTTGCTAGTAATTATAATAGTTTAAAAGAAATTAATGGCTTATACAATAATACAATGCAAATATTGTTAGTATTTAAAAGAAAGGACATTGCATATCAATAAAAGGTTATTACTCTGATAATTTAGACTTTACAATAACAAGTCATTGTAGCCATTTTTTATTATAATCAGAATGAATTATAAAAGGCAATCATTGTACTCAAGTATCCACAGGGCTTCATTTTCGGGCCCCCCACCAAATACATATTCAGCCCTGGATGTTTTAGTTGTGTCTTACACAGTTGCAGTCTTCACGGAAGCTGAGGGGCGGTTGCAGCACCAAGTGTTTCCCACCAGGAATGTTAGGAGCCAGGCTGGGTACAAGGCTTGAGGTAAGAATCCAGAAAACCAGAGTTCAGCTTCTAGGGTCCTAGTCCCACACATAAGCACCTCCAATCTTTTAAACCAGTCCTATAAAAAATACTGTTTATTACCTAGAATGTCAATGGAGAATCTTTTGTTAAATGTTAACAAAAGAATGCTTATTCCAGTTCCCCTTTAAACATCTACCTCTTTCATTTTCAAATGTTTAACTCCAGTCTCTTTTGGAAAGTGCTTAAATCATTTGGAGATAAATATTACTTATTGCTCTTTTCTAACAAATGGCATTTTCCATTGTTTGCATAAATTTCACCCATGTTCGTTTTCTTTTTTTTTTTTTAACAAGGCCCATATCCTCATCAGCGAAACTCCGATGAATGATTTAGCATACAAAACCCAGTAATTGCATACTAATTTGCGAAAGATTTAAAAAATACTTTTTGGGATGTTTTTTCAGCAAGTCTTTGCTTGCCTAACAGTAAACAGGAATGGTTTCGACCTTAAATTAGGAGTCATTTGTCAGCATAACTTTAAGTCAACTATACAATATATACATAATTTAAATCATTTAATCACTAAATACATTGGCCAAACTGTATTATACTCTTTTAAGATCCTTCGTTAGGTTATCGGTTTATCACTAAATTACTGCCAGTTCAGCTGTAGGTACATATTAACGTCTCTTTGCTTTTCCGTAGATTAACATTATTTTCTTCTTGCGAATATTCGGAAAAGCTTTTCGATTCCTAAATACCAAATCTCTGATCAGCTGTCCCCCAGCCCTATTATAATGAAAATAGCATTTTAAGTGCAAATAAGGAGTTTAAAAGCGTCGTTCTTAGAACCAAAGCAAAACACACGCACACACAAAAAAACACACAACCCACCAAAAACAACCATTTTACAATTTGTACTTAAGGCATTGGCAGTAATACAAGAAATATACAGAGATAAGCTCTAGCAAGTAACGGGCTTGCAAAAAAAATTTTTTTACTGCTTAACAAAAAGCAGCCTGAGCCTCTATTGCAATATACAGCACTTCCAATAAATTACACAACACTTGCACAGGCTGCAGAAATAACGCAGGACAAGACTTACACAGATGCCAATCCGCAGCATTTATACACATGCACATGGGTAAGAGACAGAAACCAAACACTATCATTCAACTCAGGGAGGGTAGCTCAATCTTGAGTTTGTTCAATGTGTGTGTGTGTATGTGTGTCTTATTTATGTGTGAATGTGTGGACGCCGTGTGTGCGCGCGTGAGAGTGAGACCCATCCTCAGGGCATTTTCCCCCCTCTCTGGGCAGTTTTGCTTCATTTGTTTCCTATTTCTGCTACATTGAAACTAACTTCCATCTCAGCCCCAGTCAGAGGCGCTGAATAGAACCTGTGCTACGGCTCCGTGTGCGTCATATCCCTCCGCGGAGCCGTCCCTCCCCCGAATCAATCCCTCCACAGAGAAAGCGTTTTCCAGCCAACCAACGGCCGCTGCTCCGACATCTTCTCCTAACTGGAAATAAATAAATAAATCGATCTACTGGGGCGGGGGGGGGGGGGGTGGGAGCGGGGAGGCGGGGAATCAGGCCGAGCGAGGCTGCTGCTGCCGCCTGGGAAAGGAGTGTGTATGAGCGCGCAAGCTAGGGAGGTTGTGGTGGGAGAAGGATACTTTTCCCTATTTTTTAACCCCCTTTTGAAGTTGAGTGGAGGGAGCCGTGCGGAGACGATCAGGGTGGGAGGAAACCCCAAGACCTAAGCTTAGCCCGGGCTCGGCGGCAGGGACTCTTTTCTGAGGCGGAGGGATCTCTGTGGCGGAGGTGGCGGGCGGGTTGCTGCCGCTGCCGCCGCCGCCGCCGCTGCCTGTGAGTTGTTGTTTCCTCCTCCTCCTCCTCCGCCGCCGCCTCCTCCTCCGCTGCTGTTGGTTGAATGGTGGAGCTGAGGCTCTGGCTGGGGAACACACAGTGACAGCTACAGGGCAGGCAGGCAGGCGGCGGCGCCGTCCCCGCTTCCCGTCCTCGGCGGGGGAACCCCGCCAGTGGCCCCTAAGTGACCAATAAACATGTCTTGTGAGAGCAAAGGCCTCTCGGAGCTGCGATCGGGTAAGTGGGGAGGCTGCAGGCGCCGCTGGCACGGGGCGCGTCCGTCCCCAGCGCCCCTAGCCCGGCGCTGAGCTGTGTCTCTCCCCTCTCCCCTTGTCCCCGCACAGAGCTCTACTTCCTCATCGCCCGGTTCCTGGAAGATGGACCCTGTCAGCAGGCGGCTCAGGTACGGGGCTGCGGGCGGACGAGCGAGAGGCGGCGGCGGCGGCGCGCCGCCGCGGGGCTGGGGCCGGGCCGGGGTGGGGGAGGGAGGGAGGCCGCGGGCTGCGGGGGTCGAGGAGGGCGGCCAAGCAGCGTCCCCCCACCCCGCTTTTGTTGTTGCAGGTGCTGATTCGAGAAGTGGCCGAGAAGGAGGTAAGAGAAGGCGGCGGTGGCGGCGCTCTGCGGCGGCTCACCCAGCCCGGGCTGCTGCCGCTCCCTGCCGCCGCCGGGGGGAGGAGGGCGGCGCGGCGGGCCCGGGCGGGCCGGGGTCGGCGCGGGGGGGGGCTCAGGGGTGGGGGTCAGCTGGGAGGTGGGGGTCGAGCAGAGGCTGATGTTGGGGTGTTTTCCCCCTCACAGCTGTTACCCCGGCGAACTGACTGGACGGGGAAAGAGCATCCCAGGACCTACCAGAATCTGGTGAGAGATTCCCATCGCGATGCGAAAAAACTTTTCCCCGAGTCAAATAAAAATTGAATTTCCCGCAATTTTTTACAGGGACAAAAACTTGGCTAAAAAAATCGCGAAAGCTTCAAAGGCATCGGGAAGGGTTGGGAGCTCAACACGGGACAGGCGCGGGGTTGGGGTCAGGGGTACCCGCACCCCAAGATCAGAGGGGCTGCGGACAATTAATTTGTGATATTTTGTTAATGTGCTAGAAATAAAGATACGTCATGAATGTTGTGCAGTGAAAGAGCTGGAGGAGGAGGGACTAGAGCGCGCTTCCGCGAGAGAGCGCGGACGCGGGAGCGCGCACCAGAGAGTCAGGCGGCCAGGAGGGCGCGCTCTCATTTCTCCATGCGCTGTTGCTGCTGCTGCTGCTGCTGCTGCTGCATACATACATAGCTCGGCTTCTCTCCTCTTTCTCTCTCTGCCTTTTCCCTTCTCTCTCTTTCTTTTCCCCCTTTTTCTCTCCTCTCTTTCCCAGCTCTTGATTCACTCTCTCCTCTATCTCTCCCTTTTCCTTCACACAATAGCTGGTGACTAACTATTCTAAAGTGGCATTAGCATTTCACACAAGAAAAGGCTGTTAAGCTTAAATAAAATCAGCAAGAAATTACCCCCAACCCCCCCTTTTTTTTTTCCTTTGCTTAAATTCAAATCTGGAAATTTGGGGGGAAATTAAAATGTAGGATGAGTACAGCCAGCTAGCCACACATTTATTTGCTGTCAGAGTTTTTACTGGTCCATGACAGAACGGCAGTATACATTTATAAATATGATTTGTGGGTTATATATAGCACATATATGGTGAATGTGCATATCCATGTTTAACTTGATACATTACTGTCACCAAAGTGTTCAGATCCTCAGCCTTTTGAAGTTCACTCTGGGATGAAACTTGAGTAAAATTTCCCATCTTTTTCTATTGTGTGATTCTGACTTTCAAAAGTTTTTTTTTTAAAAAATATCTACTTCTCAATTGTCCCTCCAAAGAATATTCCATAGTCTCTACAACTATAATTTTAGGGAAAGCATGAAAAGATCCTACCCTTTTGCCCTGTACTTTCCTCAGTTACCTGGTATTTGCTTTTAGGACAAAGACTCAAAATTTCAACCAATTTAGGTTTTCCTTAAGTTGTGGTCATTCACCACTATTTTCCATAGCTACTTTTTCTTTTTGATTGTGGTGTAGGCATTAATTTGACCAATAAAACTACTATTAGATTACTTTAGGTTCTCTTTGAGCCTTTAAAAATTGTTAAAAGTCAACATTCACAAATTTAAACTTTGAAACAATTGAAGATGCATATTAGATTTTGAATACTCAGTAATAACTAATCCCCTAACCCCAGGCAAAACGTGGTAGAAATAGGTAGCGTTCTTGATTTTGAGGAACATTGTTTCAGCTTTAATATATGAAAACAAATATGGAACAGTTTCCGTTCTTTACCACCTGAGTTTGGATATAATCCTATACCCATTGATATCATTTAAAGTGTGTGTTTTACAGGTTCTCCTCAAGATTTAGTCCACTTGCCATGAATGTTTCTTTTTGCCTGTAATTTTTCATTTTGCCACCCAGAGAAATATTGAGATACCAAAAGGGCATCTGATTTGACTTGGGAGGGCATGGATTTTGACTTGTTCTCTTTTGAATATATAGGTATACTGTGTTTGGTGTAATGTTGTTTGGTTTTCGTTTTTATTGGATTTCTGATGTTTCTGCGGTAATATTTGTGTGAACTCTTGTTATATCTTGGAAGTTATGTTTACATACTGCCTGATTACTTTTGTGTACTCAAAATGAAAAGCATAATTTACCTACAAAATATAACATTTAATTTTATTTTGTAGATTTTGTATGTTTTGGTGAGAACTGTTTGTGATGTTTTTTCTAGATGAGGGTGATAGTTATGCTATCAGGTAAAGTGATTTTCTTAAGTAGAGAAGTTGTAGTATTGAATTTAAATATGTAAAAATATTCCAGATTAGAAATTAGCTATAGAATACACACATTGAATATAATGCTAAAGTTAAAAAAATCTTTATTGATAGTAACTGTTTGGATCACAATAATTATGACTAAAAGAGTAAGCAGTGGTCTAGGAGTCCTTCAAAAAATTTTTATACATGATCTTTAAAATCCAGGGTTTTGTTTTTTTCTTCAAGTTTAATGTGAATATCCATGAGAAATAAAGCTTATCCTTGATTTGAAGGATTTTTTTTTCGCTTTCAAACCCCTAAAATTTGGACATAAATACGTATCTTCAATTTCAAAACTTTAAATGAAACTTTTTGCTTTTTAAATGTTTGGAAGGTGGATTAAGAAGAATTTACTATAGGCCAGGTTACTTAACATTTTTAGTTTATGATGAACATTTTAATGCATGGCATACTTAGTGATTTCACCACCAAGTATTTTCCCTCCAGTAACATGTATCAAAAGATCTCCCTCGTGTTCTTATACATGCATGATTTTTTGGTGTTTTTAGTATCCTGGAGGTGTACAAGTATCTTCTTGCTACTTGACCAGTCTGCTTCATTTTTCATTAATACATGCCATCAGTGATGTCTTTTACACTACCTTAAGTTAAACAGGCAAAATGTTGGTAAGATTCTGCACTCCGTATGTCTTTTATACTGCTCTTTGGGTTCCTTATGATTTTGATTTTTCAGAAATAGTGATGTTCCTAAAATCCTCAAACAAGGCCAACTCAGGGCAAATGTAGAAAAAGGAAGAAATTCCTGATCTGAGCATACAGTTAGGGAAATACTCTTTTCCTGTTTATTTTGTTTACTTAGTTCAGATAGTGAAACTGGTTGGTTTACCATCGTTTTCAAGTTTTTTTAAGCTTACGCAGTGATGTTTGTGTTTAGATTTGTAGTTCTTTAGCTGAGGTGAGATTAAGTTTCCTAGACTAGAGTTTGGACTCTTGAATTTTTTTGAACTGATCCTGCAATTTCATAAATGGAGGTAAGTCCCAGTGAGGAACTCCTTTACTAATGTACATCAGCATCTTCTCTGCTAGATGTAGTTTTAGAGTGGCCTGGGGTCACTGAAAGGTTCAGTAATTTCCTTGGAGTCGCATAGTCAGTGTTCTTCAGAGACCTTGAATCCAGGTCTTTCTGACTCCAAAGCTAGCTTTTTATGCACTGGACCATATTGCCCTTACTTTTTATTACGATTGCAGTTTTAGCTAGCAAAACCATTTTGGGGGTTTTTTTTGAGCTATTTATGTTTTTCTAAAATTATTACAAAAAGGATTCATACTCTTGTGGAGGGCTTCTTTACTCTTAATTTCACGCCACAGAAGGTTTCACTTTGAGGGGAACTGTTGCCAGGTACCTAGGACCTAATTTGGTGTTGAGTCTTAAAACTTTCCAAGTACTAAACCTTGAAAGTTAAAAAAAAAAAAAAAAGTTTTCTTCATATGTATATGTGTGTGTGTCTGTGTATGAATGTGTCATCCCAGGTTATAAAAAGAAAGTTAACTTAGAATTGTACACAAAACACAGTAAATGCCTTTACATTTGGTATAGATTTGCCATGATTAAAATGTTTAATTTTTGTAAGTTACTGATGATTTTTGAACAGTAATAAAATTAAAAATAAGTAGTCAAAAATAATTAAGTCAAATAATTGAAGAGTATAACATTTGTATTTAACGTACTATGAATTGTGAAACTATAGTTTTTAAAATGATTTTGAGATTTTCAAAAAAGATTTAAATATAAGATTATAAGTAATTTTAATATAGCATTGATAAATTACATACAGGCTCAAAAAGTTCAGATGGGAAATCTGCCTTTCCAGATTTTCATTTTTTAAAATTATATATTTAACAGAATTTTAAGACTTAAAATTTTCTTTTTCAGTCAGAATTGGCTTAAATACTGGTTTCCTTTGAGTCTACTAAAGAAATGATGAGAATGATTGTCTCTAGGCTAGTAGACTTTATTTTTTCATCTTATATTGCCCTAGTAAAAAGATAGGCCTTATTGTAGGGCAGCTTACTGAAAGAATTTGTTCTGTCATACCTTTACGTTTAATCAACTCTCTTTGTGAGAGTTAAAGTATTTTGAATATAGAGAAGAAAAAACGTATTTCGTTGGAGGAGAGGAGTTGTGACTTATCATTTTATGCATGAAGAATCCTAATCTAGGTGATTTTTACTGTTAGAAACTAGGCTCTTCCCCACCATTAAACAAACAATTCAAGCACATTCTGTGATTCCCAGTACTCTCCTAAATGAGTGAAAATTGACTTTACCCTACAGGGGAAGTTCTGTCTACTCATGTGTTGTTTCCCCTATCCCTGTAGTCTCAAGTGTGTCCTCACTCTCCACCTCCCCCCCCCCAGCCAATAATGTTAACCTCATATGTGTTTTTACTTAAGTTTAAAAGTACTGTGTTGTGTTGAATCCTGTTTTTCAAGTTTGTGTTTCAAAAGTATTCCATTTTTAGATATTACATGTAGATCAATTAGATTTTATGTTTGGGACATCGTTATTACATATTCCAATTACTACTTTGAAGAATAATGACTAATTTAGATTTTTTAAAATCATGTTTATAGTGTAGTTATTTCCCAAAATCAGAGGTATGGTTGTGTAAAATAATATACAAAATAGTTTAAAAACCTTGAAGAAAGTAGGAATTCAGTTGAAGATACAAGCAGAATCACAGATACATTAGTCTGACTAATAAGATGTTGACTGACTTTTCTGAGTGAATTTACATCATAAAATATTTAGTTGTGAGTGTTTTGGATTAACGGATATTAAAGCTTTTTGCTTTTGATAAGTAGAAAGCTGTTGTCATGAGATGGTAGTTTGGATTATATGAAAGGATCTTGCTCTTGCAGTCTGGTTCCTTTTGACCAGAGATTTGGGAATTTAAAAACCATAGTAGTTTGTATTCTTTAAGACTTTCTTGATGGGCAAGTGTTGTGTCTTTGGTTTTGTCATTTTGTTATC